CCCATCTTTTCAACCCCTCTTCCCTTCTTCATTCACAAAGATTAGTTTCCATTTTATTGTTTTCTCTTTTTGCTTTTCCTTTCCTCCGCACCCAAGTTCCCTTTTCTTTTTCAACATAAAGAGCTAATGTCTAGAACATATAGAGAAGTGAACACAATGATTCATCGTTGCTGTTATCGTTAACCTCTCAGGACCTTGTTGGGTTATGGCAGGTCTCATATTCTGAATTCAAATTCATTTGTAGTTCATCCTTCCAATAAATTTGCTAAATGTATCTGATATAAAATTTCCCTTCAACAGGTGATAAAGTGGGCATAGCATACAGCAAAATTTAGTTACTATTCAAATGAACAAAAAGAATAAATGTGAAGAAGTCTTCAAATATTTAAAAGTTAAGCAAACAACTATAAAATACAGTGCTGCTGTGATGGGAAGACGTGATAAATATACTTAGTTTTCATCCAGGATGGAAATGCAGACACAGAAACCTAATGAGTCAGCACAGAGCAAGGAAGATGAACTCAGGGTACTGTGGTTGTGGCAAGGCTGGGGCTGGGAAGCAGAATCCGACCTGGGGAAACCGCGTGTGTATAGTTGGGTGAAGCAAGCACAAGGAAGATGAGATTTAGTGAGATAGAGGGAGAATGATTGATGACATGGACAGGGCAGAGTGCAGCAATTACAAGACTACATGTAAGAAAGCAGCAATCTGTGGAGAATTGTAGGAAAACACTGAGCACCAGCAGAGGGAATCCAGCCAAGGCAGAGTGAGCATCAATCTGAGAATGGGAAGCAGCCAGCGAAGGCTCGATCCTGAGTGGCTGCCAGGACTGTCACTCATGCACACGGAAGACATGAGCAGAGGTCACAGTATATGCTCCTGGATAACCAGGGCTTTGCAAAGAAGGTGGTAGAATGCTTTAGGTTTTGTGGATAAATTGAAGACAGCACCTCAAGAAAGGAGGTGGGGAGAGCCACTCAGAGGAATACAGCGAGGGTACAGAAGGATTTAGAGCTACACTGGCTCAGATGAACATTGTGGTCCTTGAGTCGCCCATAGCCTACCTCTCCCTGTGTCCCCTGGAGAGATCCTACTTTACTGCCTCTGCGCCTGAGTCCTAAGTAGGAACTGCAATCCCATTCTCTGTCTGCAAAGCACAACAGCTCCTTGGATATAATCAATGTCTGGGCTGCGAAATAGGAAGTGTCAGTGTGCAGGGCACAGCCCTCACAGCCCTCTGAGCAGCGTGCACCCGATCATTTACACCACAGTCAGGCAGCAGCAGGAGGCCCCTCTGCAAGCCAGGGGCAGGTGACCTGGAAGACTGAGTAACCCAGTGTGCAAGGTGCTGCATCCAGAAGCGCTTGTTGGTGAAATCGTTGGTGGGCAATAGTTTACCTTAGTCTGTAATGTTTCTAGATTTTTGCAGTATTAATATAATGTCACCATATTCCTGCCTATTTTTATCTACCCAAGCTCTATCTCTTTCTTTGGTTACAATTACCAAAATTATGTCAATTTTGTTTTTGAAAAAAAAAAAGATCATGCCACCTGAAGTCTCTGACCTTCTATCCCCTGGCAGCTGCATACTAAAGTTGGCAACTTTATTCCCCCACTTTGCCCTCATCAAGATCCACCACGCTCACCTGCTTTGGGGCATTTGGCCTCACCTCCTCATTGTTCTCCAGGGTGTTGCAGCTTCTCCCTCTTGTGCCCTGGAGAACTCATCTCCTCCTTGACACTTTCAGCCCCTCTGCTTCACTGTCTGTGTGTGCAGATTTCTTAAGTATGGTTAATCCCATCTGCTTTGCTGCTGTATACAGCATTCCTCTCCATGTTGTGGCACTACTCTATTTTAGATGGCATCCATGATCACATGGCCCAGAAGCACATGGAATATTCCCTTAGAGTATGTTTATCTCTCGCACTGCTTTATCCTGAGTCCTATAATAGAAGCAACTTCAGGTCTGGGATAATTTGTGGAGCATCCATCTGCCTGGCAGCGGGCTGACAGACAGGAAGAAGCATCATTAGTTCAGCCTAGTGTGTTTTACCCTTTGATCTTTAGATTTTCCTCAGAGATATAGTAGGGCTGGATATATGTATTGTGCATGGGTTTTATACATTCCTGTTGCATGGAGGTCCTATAAACTGTATGTCTGTCCCATAAATATCTCACAAATATTTGTAATGTGTCATGGGCTTATGGGGTCCACACAGCACTGACAGCTGAGAAAATCATGTTTAGGGGAGGATATCTAGATTGAATGCCTATTTCAGTATGGGGCAAGGACAAATCATTAAACAATAGATGACTGGTAAATGTGAATTTATAAAGAGAATGTAAATCCAAAGATGCAACCTCTGTTGTCTTAAGAACATTCAAAAAAGAGCCTGCAAAGTGGCAGGATATGTGCAAACAACACAAGCTTCCTCCTTTGATGGGCCAGCAATGCCTGTGTTTAACTGAATTAAAGGCAACGCTAGATAAGCAATACAGAGATTGGCTGCTGGTATTGAACTGGATTTTCCAATGCAGATTCACGAACACCCCCAGAACACCTGTCTTTCTGTCTCATAAAATCAAGAGTGTGGGAAATTTACCAGCTCCACAATATATCCAGGATGTGGGATTCCCAGTTTAGTAGTTGGCAGAATGTAGGAGAGAGCCCTGAAGGCGAGAGGGACAGGAAGAGTTGTGGAGTTTTACAAAGAGGGGCCGGGAAAAGAATGGATGGAAGGAAGCCCAGAAAAATGCAGGTCATTAGGCCTTGATTAAAGCACCGAAAAGAGATACAGCAATGGCAGGAGGAACAGAGGGACATGGAGAGAAAGGGAAGGAACTGAAGAGGATGCAGTGAACCAAGCCTGGACTGTGGAACTCTCAGGTGGCCCAAATGGAAAGGAAGGGATCTGAGGGCATCCACTAGAAGTAGAGAGGAGATTCAGAGATGCACAAAGAAAGGTGGAGGGAAAACAAAACATGGTGCATCGCACACTGCGATGGATGTAAGTTGAACAGGAGGGACCTGGAGGCTGGCAGAAAGGACCAAGAAGGCAAAATGAAGAGCACAAGGACATGAGAAAGTGTGAAGTGAACCAAATCCAGTGTGTGGGACACACAGGTGATCAGAAGTGACTTATTTGTGTTGTGACCACCTACCTTATGGTTTTCCCAGGTACAGAGTCTGTCTAGAATAACAATAAAGGAATGGGATATAAGAAAGTTTCCAAGTGAACTGAGATTTAAGGCAGTACACACATCTCTGAAGAAGGGGAGATTCCAGGGCGGGGAAGCACCAGACATGTGGTGTGTTGGTTGGTTTTGTGGAGATTGTGCATTGCTTTTGCACCCTCCCTAGTCCCAGGGCGATGGGTTTTCATTCATCTTTATTCTGTTCATAAGGGTAGAGTCTCGGTCACACAAGTGCTGAGGGCTGCCTGGTCATGGTAATAAACAACTGGCTTTGAAATTTGTACCCGTGTGTTTTTAAGAAAATGCAACCTCTTCCCTTCTGTCCCTTTCCTTCTTTTTTCCTAGGGCCTGAGTCTCTGTGCTGTCTCTGCGCTGTCTCTGCCTACCAGAGAGCCCCATTTTGTACAGAGGGAACCTAGGAGAAACTATTGGACCTGAGTTTTTGTGGCTAGGACTGCATATGTTTGCAGAAATGAGAGTAGGGTTTGAGGCACAGGCAGAAGCAGGCAGGGGGTGGGGGATGCTTGTAAACACCCAGAATCCACTAGAAACCATAACCAGCTGGGCTGTGTGCCATGGATGTTTGAAGGGACCTTTGGAGGAAGAAATAGATCTGAAGCCTGGGGAAGGGTATGATGGAGGATGCAGGTAGGAAGGGCGGCCCAGAGGGGCAACACCAGCATGGAAGTAAAAGAGACTGTGGTATGTGTTGGAAATTCCAGGGAGTTGGGGTGATCTGAGGAAGGAATCAAGCTGAGGACTTTTGGATAAAACTGAGGAGGAACAGCAGTGGGAAACTAGCTGAGGATGCTGGGGTTGATGTGCCCGTGGGGCCACCCTGATGGCCTTGAAACCTAAGATTCTGTGCAAAAGGCTCTGAACTCTTCCAATTAAACACCCGTCTCTGGTCATCTCATTACATGCTCAACCAGAAAAGCCTAAGTCTTTGTGTGGAAGGGCATTCAGTTCAGGCCATGGTGGGAGTGACTATGCCATAAGAGCCAGGCAGGATGCTGAGAGTGCAGAGACAAGAAATGAGGGGCCTTGTTTGGGGCAGCAGTCCCTGGCAACAGTGCTGCGGGGGCGGCTGTGGATGCTCAGGTGATAAAAGAAAAGAAAACACATCCAAAACACCTAAACTGAGGGACGGGACCAAGAGGCAGTAGAAGCCCAATTGTGGGTGAAGCTGCTAGAGTGAATGTGGCAAGGCCTCAAGCCAATCCCCACTTGTTAGAAGCAAGCTGAGCAATGCCCAGTGCTCATTCACTGCATTTTGTTTCCTCACATGAGGTCAGAATATATGCGCTAGGTATTCACTGTTCTCCTCTTTATGTTGTCAGTAACATCCCAACAGTGCAGAATCCTGACAAAAGCATTTCACCCACTGTGAATACTTTTATGCTATGTCTCCACTGGGAGTCCAGTGGTGTGGTCCAATATAAGAGAACTGGCTGTAGGCTTTGCTTCCAAATGAAATTTGCATGTTTTTTTGATTTCTGCATTCTCTCATGCTTGTGGATTTAAATTACTGATGAAAACTTCTTTTCACACAGGTAACATGCATCAATTTCTCTTTAGTGTTTTGTCTTGCATACTAAAGTAGGATGATAGAGTAAAGGCTTTCTCACGGAGATGACATTAATATGATTTCACTCCACCATGTATACATTCTGTCATAACTACACAGGTGAGATTACTGCAGGCTGTCCCCAAGGTGAAATCAACATGGTTTTTCTCCTTTGTGTTTCTCATGCCTAATGATTGAGTGAGGACTTCACCACACAGCTGGCATTCACATAGTTTCTATCCTGTGTGTGTTTTCCTATGATTCCAAAGGCTAGAAGAATGAGTGAAGGCTTTTCTGCACAAAGGACATTCATGTGGTTTCTCTCCTGTGTGTGTTCTCTCACGTTGCCTAAGGTGTGATGATTGAGTGAAGGCTTTTCCACATAGCTGACATTCATATGGTTTCTCTCCTGTATGTGTTCTCTTATGAATTTTAAGATGACCAGAGCAAGGGAAGACTTTTCCACACAGATGACATTCATATGGTTTCTCTCCTGTGTGCCTTTTCACATGGCAACTAAGGCTGGTTGGATGACTGTAGGCTTTTCCACACAGATGACACCGATATGGTTTCTGTCCAGTGTGAGTTCTCTCATGATTTTTAAGTTTGGATGAGTTAGTTAAGTTTGGCCCAAACAGATAAGATTTATAAGGCTTCTCAGCATTATGTGTTTTCAGAGGCTGATGAAGTTTAGAAGATTGATTGAAGATACTTTAACACACAGAGCACTCATTTAGCTCCACTGCTGTTTGAGTCTGATCATGATCTCTAATCTTAGAAATATTTGTAAAGCCTTTCCCATTTGGATGACCTTTGTATGAACATTTTCCAGAGTTAGTTGACTTGTGTCTTTGGATTGCCGACTGATATTTGAAGTTTTTCTCACTCATTGCATTCACAATGGTTGATCTCACTCTGTGTGCTCTAATAAAGTTTAAGTTTAAAACATTAGTTTAATTATTTTGCAATAAATGATATTCATACAATTTATGACATATGAGGTCAGAGCTTTTTATAAAGTATTTCTTAAATAGATAACATCTATGTGATCTTTCCCCACTATCAGTCATACTGTGTTGCCTGATTGTATACTGGGGGAAAATGTATTTATCATGTTGGTAGTATGAGTTATTTGAGTCTTAATGAATTATACTTTTCCCTTTTCAAGTATGGATAATCACTAAGAAATTTTTCACAGTAAAGGTTTGCAATGTTAATGTAAAGTGTGAATTAATACATATTGTATGAAGTCACAAGAGTCAGCTAAGTCTTTTAATTTATTGCTATTGGAGGTCTTTATCAGTATGACTTATCTGTTTGGGGAGAAAATCAACTGTTTTTTTAATATACTGATATAGCTTTACATGTAACTTTCATTAAACTTAATTCTAGCTTATTCAATGAATTCTAGAGTTGTATAACTTTATTGTTACTTGTATACTCAAAGTACCTTACAATCCATGTAATACAAATATTTTTTCTTTATAATATCACAATTTACCTATGAACAGATTAATTTTGGCAATTAAATGTCTTTCACAGTTTAGGTGCTACTGTTCTTTTTGGCTAAGGCCACACATCCTGTTTCTGAAATCATATTAAATTTTAATAATCTCAAGGTATGGAGAGCATATGATTTGGAGAGTGCTTCATCTTGTCTATGAGAATGTCATTACACTCAACTGCAAACTGTTAGTCACTGAAAGTTGCTTCATTTCTGTGCATGTATTCGTGTTTATAAAACTTACCGTGAGATTGATGGTGTGTGCCTTATTCCTACTCATATGTGGAGAGGCTGTCGTTTCCTCTTTTCATGTGCACTTTTTCTTTCTGTAATAATTACAAAAATAAATAACATGCAAGGGAGAAAATGAAATAAATAAACACGATGAAGTGCCTTTTATCTGCTGCTCTGTAAAGGGCATTTCCATCAATTAATATTAGAATTCCCAAATAAACAACTGATGAAAATTGCACAAATATAGAGGTTGATTGGTGAAGGGTTTGAGTTCTCAGTAGTTTATACCATAAATCACTGAGGAAGTGTAAAAGTTCAAGGAATCAAATGACAACAGAAACAGGAGATGCCTCAACCACTGAGACACAATAAGAACAGTTCTAAAATGGAAGGACATACCTATTTTTCACAATTTTAAAAATTAATTTATATCAAGAAATTAAAAACTTTCATGTCAAATACATAACAGTAGTGAACCAAAGAAGTATTCAATTAAATAATGCTGAGCTGAATGTAATGAATAAGATGTGAATTGCACAACATGAAAAATTAATACACAAATATTTTTAATTTTTTAAATGTTTAAGATTGTATTTTATTATCTTAGTACATGTTTTCTGTATTTGAAATTTAACCATCCTGGGAGTGGATAGGTGTAGGTAATATAGCTTGTCTCTTTTTAATTCCCTTTTGTTCCACTTCCCTCTCCAAATTTTTAAATCCCTTTTCGCCATTTTCTTTTTGTTGTTGATATTTTCATTCTTCAATCATATCCTTCATGTGTAATAGTTATATTCACTTTGGGTATTTAGAATCTGGATATTGCAAGTCTTAAATCTTTTCTTCCCTTCCTCCTTTGTCCTCCTGTCTGTCCCCTGCAGTCCTTCATCTTTGCAAGAGATCTATCCCATTACTTGTCTTTTAGCCACTTTTATTTTTCTCTTTATTTTTGCTTGGCCTTACTCAAGTGAGATAGACCAGGCAGTGTTTAAATTCTGTGTCTCATTTTATTACCTCCACATTGTATTTCTCGGTTGCATTCATTTTCCCACAAATACTTCAAACTCATCAATCTATAAAGTGAAGTAGTACAAGATTATGCAGACATCACATTTTCTTATGCATGTATCTGTTGACAGACATGCTGTTTGGTCCTGGATTTAGCTATTATGAATTGTGCAGTGATAAACACTGGTGCGCATGTGTGACTGTAATATGATGTATGGAGCATTTTTGGAAAAATACTTAGAAAATGAAACCTAGGTTACATGGAATTTCTACTTTTACTTCTTTGAGGAAACTCTATACTGCTTTCCATAATGGCTGTATTGCTTACATTCCACTCACAATGGAGAATTGTGCCTTTTTCACCACAGACACACCAGCGGTTGTTACTCTTTGACTTCATGATTGCCATTCTTTCAGGTATAAGACTTCATCACATTGTTTTCATTTGCATTTCTTCCATGGCCAAAGAACTTGATAATTTTTTCATGTTTGTTGCTTGCTTGTAATACTTCTGATGTGTAATGTTTCCTTCCACTTGCCCATTTCTTCACTGATTTGTTTCTTTTAGGTGATCTAACATTTTTGAGCCTTTGTACATCCTAGATATTAGTCTTGTATTTCATGAATAGCTGGCAAACTTTTTACCATTCCTTAAGTTGTCTTGCACTGTGCTAATTCCTTTGCTCTGCAGAAGCTTTTTAACTTGGTAATGTCCCATTTTAGTATTTTCTTATTTCCTGAGAAATTAATGTGCAGTACAGTAAGTGCACAGTATGTAATATGCAGTATAGTATGTACTGCACAGTATGTAAATGTACAGTACAGTATCTAAATCTCTTTACATAGAGATTTAAGTATTTTACCTATTTTATCTTCAAGAGGTTCCACTTTAAAGTTCAGATATTTGATAAGATAGTTTGTCTTACTGCATCATGAGATATAATAGTCTTCCACAAATACATAGCCTCTAGCCAACTTTCTTGGCATCATTTATTGGGACAGCTGTCTTTCCTTTAACGTATATTTTGGCACATTTTCTGATGACTAAATAGCTGAAGTCCGCAGATGTTTCTGAGTCCTATATTCTGTATCACTAGTTCACAAATTTCTTTTCAGTACTCTATAATTTCTATTACTTAGGCTTTCTAAAGCAACTTGAAGTTAGGTGTTATGATGCCCTTTGCTTTTTTCTTGTTGCCCCATATTGCTTTGCTATTTGGGGTCTGTTTTTGTCCCCTGTGAATTTCAGGAATGATTTCTCTAATTCAGTGCAGAATATATGTAGTACAGTGTTTCATGCACTGAATTCCTTATACAAATCTCAGGAAAATATTTACATTCATGTTCTTCCCATAAAGTTGGCCATGACTATGTTTGTCTATAAAGGCAGAGTTCACACACAAAGCAGCAAGCTACCAAACACTTTGTTTGCTGACTGAAGTGCTCACAAAAAACACTCATGAACCAACAGAATAAGCTCATCTAATGGGTAATTGGATTATACATGTACATGTATAATCTGTTTTCTTCATTTTTCAGAGTATGCACAATTTGAAGTTTTTTCTTCCTTCAAGGTCCAGGGAAATGTTTGTGTATTTTTACTATTAATGTATTTCTTTTATTACATGTCTTATGTCTTCTTCTGTCACTTTTATCAAGGTCCTCTAACATTTAGTGTAGAGGTCTATAGTGTCCACTGTTGGTTAAATTCCTAGATTTCAGTTTTCCCTGATGTTAATATGAATTATGTCGGTTTCACAATTTTGTGCTCAATGATTCCATCATTGGTATATATATGTGCTATTGACTTTTGTGTGTTGATTTATTATTTTTCAGTATTGCTAAAATAGATTAATAATTTTAAGAATTTTCTTGGGGTAATTTTTATGTCCTCTACATAGTTTAGCATGTGAACTGCAAATAGTAGTTTGGTTTCATCCTTTCTTATATAATTTCTTTAATTATTTTCCTTACCTGACTGCTTTAGCTATTGTTGTGAATACTATGTTGAATGGTATTGGTGATCACTGGCATCCTTGATTTGTTTGTTGTTCTAGAAAGAATGCTTTCGGTTCCCTCCCTTTAATAGGACAGGCATATACATGAATTGTGAAGATCATTTCAAAAAATAATCACATCGCTGGAGAAATTTTTGCAAGTATTTGTTCCAGATATCTAAACAAATGTGACTTAAGAATGTATGTGTCACTATAAAATGTATTTTTCAAATTCACTTGACCAGCTCTCTTCTACACTGAAATATCAATATGTCATATTTACCTAAAATCTGGTTTTGGGTGAATTCTCTTTGTTCTACCATCCACAGGATTTCCCTTTTATCTAAATGAAAAATTACAGCTGATATGCAGTATTCCTGTCTGGTTCAGGAGAAAATAACAAAGTGGATTATTAAATTCATAGCAATAAATGCACATTATGACAAAGTCTATGGGAGATACCAAGACAAAAAGGTGAACATAGGTAGAAGGCCTGGACAATGTGGTAAGTGAAAAATTGTGAAGGTCTTTATTAGATTAGGAGGAAATCTACTCTGTATGAGCAAACTGTGAAGTCCTCAGGACACTTGTGCTCATGGTTGTATTTAGAGATAAAACAGAATGATCAGTATTTCAAAAGGGATAAACTTAATGCATTTGTGACAAAATGGATGCACTCAGAGACTGTCCTTATGTAGAAATTAATCAGATGTACAAGCTTAAATGTCACATGAATTTTGGTCTTGTGTGAAAAAAAACAATATATAGATAGACAGATTGACCAAACAAAATCTAGGAGAGTTGCAAAAAGGAAGATACATTTTTTTCAAAATATAAAAGAACCAAGGGATTGAGAGATGGGGGAAACAAGGGAGAAACTGAAAAGAGAATACATATTTGAGATGAGTTATATACACATACCAGCTCCCTACAGGAATGTAACCATGTACTCTAAACATGTAAGACTAAAAATAAGAATATCCAAAAACTCAAGATGGGCAGTAAAGGTGTCTTCACATTGAAAAGTGTAAATAGTTTCATGGTAGGGAAATAACTTCAAATAGCATCCAATATAACGCACTCAAGTATACTCAGAGCTTTCATTTTCATATCAATAATGATCCTCATCAAAATGTTAAAAAATCATCTATAAAATATTTCACATATTTATAAAATCCATAAAGCTTAGTTCCCTGATTTGCTCAGCATTTGGTGATTTAGCTATATGATGTCAGGAAATAGTTTTCAAGACTATATTAGGGAGTGGTAAAATGTATTGTATATGAATGTAAATGAAATTATCTTTGACATAGTTGTGATGTCTAAGAATGGCCCAGAACAGAGATTGAGAGGGATAAGGAGCATGTATTCTAGACAATGTCTGAGTGATTACATATAGGTTGAAGGTAGGTATACTCACAGGTAGGTAGAAACTTGACTAAACAGACTCACCAATAGAAACCAGGTCACTGATGTTTTCCAGCATCACGTCTCTATACAGCTTTCGCTGTGGTGTGTCCAGCAGGGCCCATTCATCCGGGCTGAATTTTATGATCACATCTTCCATGGTGATTGATTCCTACAACACCATGCACATTTCAGGTTAGACAGAGAAGCAGTGACAAACCACTTCCTAGTAAGTGAACTGTGGGGACAGCATGCATGGAGAGAACAAGCTGTTCAGGGCAGCAGTCTATTCTCTCTCAGCGCTGGACTGGAGCTAATTCAGAGACACTAGTGAAGGAGGCACCAGAGTGACTCACTGGGGTTCATAAAGATGTCTGGAGTTCAGCCCAGCACCCACAGACACAGTATGTGTGTGGAGAGTAGCCACCAAGGCTCCAGAGGGTACCCGGGGCTCTGCCAGCTTTGCACGTTGGCCAGGCAGGCGCAACAGTGACTCACCGGGGTTCCTGAATACATCACGTGTTCAGCACAGCACCCATAGACACACTATGGGTGTGGCAAATAGCCACTGAGGCCCCAGAGGGTGCCTGGGGTTCCGCCTGCCGTGCATGCTTGTCAGGGAAGTGCAGGGGCTACTCCCAAGGCTTCTTGAAGGTGTCCAGGGTTCAGCCCAACCCCTACAGACACACTATGGGTGTGGCAAGTTTCAATTTTCTTTTAAGTTTTCATGAAATATAGTTTGCAGTTTCTTGTTCAATAGTGTCTGTGTACTAAATTTTATTTCTACTACAACTTTCAGTACTTATGTTCTGCTCCAAATTTTCACTTTGCATCCTTGTTTCATTTTGAGGTGCTGGAGGTGCATCATCAGGTTCAGGTGAAATCTGGCCTTTGTTATGATGGATGTGCTTTTTGCTATAGCCTTCCTCTTTGCCATACTATTTCTGTGTCCTGTAAGGAAAGGATTATAAACTGCAGTGTTTGAACTGGTGACAGAAAACCAACAAATTGAGAGAAGACAAGGGGAGGGAAGACCCTTAAGAAAATCCCAAATAGTGAACAGATAGCAGAAGAAAGCAGAGGGTGAATGCTGTAATAATTGTTAGGTGGTGTAATCCTGAGGGTTCTGTCACTCAGGAGGCTGAGGCAGGAGGACCTCAATAATAATTTAAAAAATCTACAAAGACATGGAAAAAAAAATAAGAAAAAGAGAAAGTAAAATACTTTGTGTTAGAAGAAGGAAGAATAACAACAGGTAAGAAGGAAGTACAAAGGAGATAACGTATAAAACTATGCCTTAAAAACAGAAAAGAGGCAGGAAGTAGAGGTATCAGATCCCTAAGAAGGCTTCCTGCTCAGTTCCTCAGGCAGGGACTTGGGGAGCATTCAGCTTCCTCCTCCTGGTACTGCTGAGTCACTGAGCGGCCATTGCTGTTTCTGGGCCTCTGTTTTGTGACCCGGATCTGGAGTGAGCAGCCAGTGACTCTTTCTTCAGTGTGCTGAACCCTTTAGTTCTGCCTCTGTGGGAAATGCTCTCCCTGCTGACTTCTCTGTACCTCACAGAAAGACAGAAAACTCACTCTGGAGATTCAACCTCCTAGCAGACTCATCACATCTACTCGGGCTCTTGCTGGTAACACACCTTGTATGCTTTGCTTGGATTTTCCCTACAACTGGAAAGCTATATCTTCTCAATAAGTTTCAGAAGAAAGAGGCAGGTCCTTTGGTGAAAGGCAATTAGGAAGATTCATGTATGAAGTTAATCACTCACAAAATATTCTTAGTGTAGTCTATGAATTAGGAAGCTTTTTAGGTCTTGGAAAACAGTGAGAAACCCAGACAAGGGATTCTATGGACGCAGACCCAAATTTCACATGAGAAAACCATCGAGGAAAATGATATGGAAAAATGTAAAAGTATAAAGGTTTAAAATAAAATAATGGGATTAGAAAAGAAATTGCTAATGTAACATGCGAAGAAGTGCTAGGCCACTGTTTATATTGTTCTTTTCAGCCAATATTAAGAATTTATTAATAATCATAATAAAATGTGAAATCAGTATTTTATCTTTGGTCAATGAAAGCGTAAGCACTATTCCCACAGGGGCCCGAGTAGTAAATTGTTTCATTGCTCTCTCATTCCCTACTCATGCACAGGATTGATTGGACTTCTCTGTAGAGATCCTGCTTCACTTAACATTTCTGCTTCTGAGGAGGGAACAACCCTGCCAGGGAACACAGAAAGTTCCACTATATCTGAAGTCAATTTGATCATTCCTCAATAATACCTGAGATCTTTAAGGTGTTGAATAACAATTCTTTGAGGTGTTGAATATCAGTCAGTTATCTGTCTCAAGAATGACACTTCTTAATATAACACAGGTGACCCCAGTGCAAAACCAGTGCTGATAACCAGTTAATTAATTATTGTTTCTGGAAACATACAGTGCTTACTACATATTGAAGTCCTAGAGTTTATAATTATTTGTCAAAATCTGAAAATCCATTGCAAACACCTGCATTTATATTTTATTTAAGTCATGAAAAACCAGATACATTTGAGAACACTACTTCAAATCTTTGTTATGACCCTTCAATTTCCTCAGCTCCTATTTTGTCCCTTGTTTATCTGATGGTTATAGTTTTTGTTTTGTCATTTTGGTACCAGGAATTGAACTCAGGACCTCACACTTGCCAGGTGGTGATGTGCAGCTGAGCTATAACCTGGGCCCATCAGATGGTTTTTGATCTAGTGTGCAAGTACAATATATAATTTAAATTTTGACCCTCAGTTTGACAAGCATTAAATTTAAAAGGGTTCTAGTCCTGCCATTCACATAATTTAACTTAAATTTATGTATAATCCTTTTGTATTGTGAATTTTATAGACATTTTGTTATTCTGTACAATATGTGTGCACATTCTGGGCAGCAAAACCCAGCCCCTCTTTAACCTCAGGTTTCTCACCTGAGCCTCCATGGTATCACCCACACCCGTCTATAGATTCTATTATTCACCCCTCATGCTGCTTCATGGGACAAACTTCAGTGGCATCTGAACCTAACTACACAGGCATTCATGCCTAGATCCTGGTCCTCACTTGGGGAGTCTGTGTTCAGCGATGTTTATATTTATTTTTTGAATTATGCTTCCCAAGTGTCATTTCTATCTGTCCTATTACATACCAAAGAAGGAAGTTCCTTGATGCCAGAAGGACATCTCTGGAACCAAACATGGCGATAAATTTTTCATTACGACTGATGCACACACACAGGTGCACAGGCTCCTGTTGTATCTACTACTCTTCTCCCAAATAAGCAGCATGTTAGAAATTTTCAAGACTAATTTTTTTATTATTTTGAAATAAAACTGTTTATTCACAGACATGATCATCTATATACAAAACAGGTACATTTTTAAAAGCTACTAGAACTAATTAATTACTTAGTTTATCAAAGTTGTGCAACACAAGGTCAATATATAAAACTCATTTGTATTAAATTTACAGTCCTAGGATTTGATACGCAGTAGATACAGGCCTCACAACATGAGCTGTGAGTGTCCTTTCCATCTATCTACAAGATGAGCTCTGGGGTTGGGGTCTGTGGAGCGATGGGGTGAGGAGAACCGAGACTGGAGCATAGAGCCCTGTTGGCAAGAGGGGCAGGAAGAGTTGTGGAGAGCTGCAAAGAGGGGCAGGGAGACATGAGTGCGGTGTGTGGGAAAACACAATAAATGGAAGACGCCCAGAGAAATGGAAGCATATGAGGCCTTGATTAAAGAAATGGTGGCGTGGTAGGAGGAAGAGAGGGACCTGAAGAGGCTGGGAAGGAAGTGAGGATGTGGAGGGAACCAAGCCTTGAGTGTGGAAATCTCAGGCAGGACAGCCAAATTTAAAGAAAGGGACCTGAGTGCCTCCAGTGGGAGTGGACAGCAGAGATGCAGAGGGACACAAGGAAAGGTGGAGAGAAGAGAAATCGATGCATGAGACACCGAGATCAATGTAAGCTGAGCAGCAGAAATGCAAAGACCCTGGGCCTGGAGGACAGCAGCAAACAGGCACGAAAGGGAAGATTAGTGGAGAAGGAGCTGAGGAGGGGTGAAGCGCACCAAGCCCGATGGGTCGGACACCCAAGTAAGCAGAGGTGTCTGGTTTGTGATTTCAACACCGCCCTTACGATGTTCCCATGTCCACACTCAGTCCAGCACAATAACATCGGAAAGGGTGTGAGGAAGTTTCCATGTGAAAATGAGTTTCAATGCAAAGCAGCAAAACACACATTTCTGAAGTAGAGGAGACTCCAGAGCTGGGAAACCTCCCATGTGGGGCCTGTGGGTTGGTTTTATTGGGGTTTGTGTGGCCCATTTGATCCAGAGATGGGACCTCATTCCTCTCCAGGCTGGTAGAATGGGGAGGATCTGTGTTACCCAAGTGCTGTGGGTGCCATGATCATGGTAATAAACACCTAGATTTGCAACTTCTATACATTTATTTTGAAGAAAATGCAGCCTCTTCCCTTCTCTCCCTTTCCTCTTTTAATGACTGAGTCTCTGTGCTCTCTCTGCCTCCCAGAGAGCGCCGTTCTCTACAGAGGGACCCTCGGAGAAACTCATACACTGGAACCTTGTTGTACAGAATGTGCAGAACTGGAGGAACCTGGGTACAGGCGGTGGCACCAGAGGAGGCAGGTGGATATGGGATGCTTGGAAACGTCCAGAAGCTATGGGAATCCATGAATTGCTGAACTGGGTCCCAAGGGGGATTGGAGGGACCTCTGAGGGAACAAACAGACCTGAACCCTGGGGAAAGTTGTGAAGGAAGAAACAGGTAAAAAGCATGGACAGCACTAGGAGAACTAGACGACTTGGTGTTGGGATGGAAATTCCAGGATGTGGAGTGAACTGAGGAAGGAGTGAAGCAGAGGATGTTGCAGAAAGCTGAAGAGGACCAGCGGTGGGACACGAGCTGTGGCTGTGGCAGTTGATGCAGCCATGGGATCACCCTGGTAGCCTGGAAGCCAATGTCTCTTTCCAAAGAGATCTGGTCCCTGCCATGGACAGCCCCATCTCTGGTCATCTAAGCTGATGGTGGATCTGAGGAGCCTAGAACTCTTTGATGAGCAGTGTGCAGTTGTGGGCATAGTGGGGACATCTGGGCCCAAAGAGCAGGGCAGGACCTTGAGAGTGAAGAGACAAGGAATTGGGTAGCCCTGCTGAGGTTACCAGTCCTGGATGCCAGTCCTACAGGTCATGGACCGTGCCTGATCAGCTGGTAGAAGAGAGATCCCATCCAAAGCTCCTAGAAGGGGGAGGATGGCAGCGGCAGTGGAAGCCCAATATTGGGTGAAAGAGCTAGAGTGACTGTGGTGAGAGGTCAAGCCAAACCCCACTTATCAGAAGGCAGCTGAGCAATGGCCAGTGCCCATTCATTACATTCCTGCTCCCTCACAGGTCAGAATATTTGCTGTAGCATTCACTGTTCCGTTTTGTATGTGGTCAGACACATCACAAAGTACACAATAATGACATAACGGTTTCACACATTTTGAACAACATTATGATTCATCTCCATTGTGAGTCCTCTCATGCTGTCCAATATAAAAACACTGGCTCTAGGCTTCTGCATAGAAATGAAATTTATGTGGTTCCTCTGCTTGGGAAATTAAGTTACTGACTAAAACTTTTTTCACAGATGACTTTCCTAAGTTTTCTCTCATGTGTGTTTTCTCATGCATACTTGTGGCAGACGATACAGTGAAAATTTTCTCTCACTGATGGCATTCATATGACTTCTCTCCTCTGTGTGTTCTTTCATACCTTCTAAGTGGAGAAAATTGCAGGCTGTTCTGGAGGTAGCATCAATATATTTTATCTACTGTGTGTTCTCTTGTGCCTATTAAGGTTAGATGACTGAGTGAAGGCCTTCCCACATAGAGCACATTCATATGGCTTCTCTCCTGTGTGTGTTCTCTCATGCATTCTCAGGTGAGATGATTGAGAGAAGGTCTTCCCACACAGATGACATTTATATGGCTTCTCTCCTGTGTGTGTTCTCTCATGTATCCTAAGTTTAGGTGTCTGAGAGAAGGCCTTCCCACATAGATGGCATTCATATGGCTTTTCTCCTGTGTGTGTTCTCTTATGAATTTTAAGTGTATTAGAATGAGCAAAAGCATTTTGACACACATCACATTCATAAGGTTTCTCTCCTGTGTGTGTTCTCTCATGCATTCTAAGGTGAGATGATTGAGAGAAGGTCTTCCCACATAGATGACATTCATATGGCTTCTCTCCTCTGTGTGTTTTCTCATGATTTTTAAGAGAACTAGAATTAGCAAAAGCTTTTTGACACACATGATGGTCATGTGGCTTTTCTCCTGGGTGTATTTTCTCATGTATACTAAAGTTATATAATCGAGAGAAGGTCTTCCCACATAGATGGCATTCATAAGGTTTATCCCCTGTGTGTGTTCTTATATTTTTCAGGGTACATGAATTATTCACAGTTTTGCCACAAAGATATTTAGAAAGATTCTCACCACTATTTGTTTTATGATGCTGATAAAATTTAGAAGATTGATTCTTGATTTTTTCCCGTACACAGCATTCAGTTCCAGAGTTAGTCATCTGGTGTCTTCTGAATGCAGATGGATATGTCAAGGTTTTCCCACACAGATTTCCTTCAAGATTTATCAGTTCTCCGAGTGTGTACTCCTGCAGTTTAAGTTTGAAATATTAGCTTATTTTTGAGGAAATGACATTCAAACATTTTAGTACATATAAGTTCAGAGCTTTTAGTAAAGTGTTTTTTAATATGTAACGTTTATATGTCCCTTTTGACTATAAGTCATAGTAGGTTTCCTGAGTCATTCATGGGGGTAAGAGGGTTTCTTATGTTGGTTATGTATATAATTTCTGTCTCAATGAAATATATCATTGTCACTTCATGTATGAATTCCTACGAAGGGCTTGTTCACATTGTAAGTGTGCAATGTTGAGGTAGATTGTGATTTAAGAAATGCATGAAGTCATACTGGTCAGCTAAATTTTTTAATTCATTCCAATTGAATGGTCTTTGTCAATATGAGTTATTTATATTTGGAAGGAAATCAACTGTTGTTTATTATATATTAATATATCTTCATATGTCATATTCACTAATTTTACTTCTATATTAATCACTGAATTCTAGAGAAATGAGTTATTTTTTTCCATTTATAGTCATATTATCCCATTACCATATATGAACATTCTTTTTCTTCAGTATCACAAGTAAATGATGAGTAGGTTAATACTGACGATTCAAACAGTTTCAGAGTTTAGGTGAAACTGTACATTTTTTCATTCCTTTCACACATAACAGTCCAGGGAGTATGTTACATTTTAAATAATCTCAAGCTATCCAGACCACATCACTTTAAGAGTCCTTCGTCTTGTCTTACAGAATGCTATCACACTCAAATACGAACTTTTCTCATTGAAAGTTCTTTCCTATCTGTGCAAGTATGCATGTGTCTAAAACTTACCATGGGCTTCATGGTGCATGCTTTATTCTTCTTCATAATATGTGTGTTTATCCTTTCCTCTTCTTCACGTATGCCCTTTTTTTCTGTAATAATTACAAAAATAAATAATTCACAGGAACTTAATAAGTGAATATGATAAACCCCATGAAGTGCCATGTATTTGCTAGTCTGCAAAGGGCATTTGTGTGCATGTAATATTAGAATTCTACAAGTAAAAAAATGATGTAAATTTTACAAATATATGGAGATGGATTGATGAAGTTTTGAGTTCTCAGTAGTTTATACCACAAATCATCATGGAAATGTTAACTACATGGAACCTAACAATAATGGCAACACGATATGCCTCAAATTTTGGACATAGTGATTGCAGTTCTAAAATGTAAGGCTATAGCTAAAAGTTAAAATTTTATACATTTAAGATATCTCCAGAAAAATACTTCCATGTCAAATAAATAAGCATAATAAACCAAGGAATTCTCACATTAAATGATAAGATCAGAGATAAATTTACTGAATTAGATGTGAACACAAAAATCTAAACAATAAAATAGTTTATATTTATATGTTTAAAATTGTATTTTAAAAAAATAAAATAAAATAAAATTGTATTTTATTCTGTTAGTATATGTTTCCTTTATATGAAGTTTATATACATCTTGGAATGAGTAAACATACAAAATACAGCTCATGTCTTTTTAATCCCCTTTCTGTCTACCTCCCTCCCCCATCTTTATTTATTTATTTTGTATTTTTTTTTTTTGGTACCAGGAATCGAACTCCTCACCCTGTGCTTGTCAGGCAGGTACTGAACTACTGAGGTATACCCTTGGCCCTGTCCCCCATCTTTAAATACCCTTTCCCCATTTTATTTTTCATTTTTGGTCAATATGAACATTCTTCAATCATGTTTTTGATAAGTAATACTTATACTCATTGTGGGTGTTTTGAGTCTGTACATGGCACATTGTACACCCTTACTTAGTCTCCACATTGATCCTCCTCTCTGTTTCCGGGACCACTTCACATATGAGAGGGAACTATGCAATTTTATTTCTTCTATCCATTTTTATTTTACTCTTTATACTTAGTTTGCATTTCTCAACTGAGAGTTAAAAGGCAGTGTTTAAGTTATCTTTCCAATTTAATTCCCTTAGTGTTGCATTTCCCGGGTGCATCCATTTTGCTTGAAACATCTCAAATTCATCAATCTTTACAGTGAAGTAGTATCACATTATGGACCTTTTTTTTTTTTTTTTTGGTTTTTCTCCGGTACCGGGAACTGAACTCACGACCTTGCGCTTGCCAGGCAGGCGCTTTGCCGCTGAGCTAAATCCCCAGCCCTCACATTATGGACGGACACCACATTTTCTGGGTATTTGCAATAGTTTATTGAGATACAGGGAGATTCCTGGATTTAGCTATTATGAATTGTGCTGCCATAAACGTTGCTATGCATAAATGACCATTATATGATAGATGAAGCATTCTTGGAAAAGTATTTTGAGTGGGAAACATGGATCATATGGAATTTCTACTTTCATTTCCTTGAGAACTATGGATACTTAGAAGTTTACCTTCCACCCACAATATCGCTGTGTACCTTTCTCATCACGGACAGACCAGTGCTCATTACTCTTTAACTTCTTCAAGATTGCCATTCTTTCTGGTGTAAGAAACCTTCATGCTGTTCTAGTCTGTACTTCTCTCATGGTGAGAGAAATTGAGAATTTTTCATGTGTGTTGTTTGCCGATATAAACACATGCTGAAACTACACAAACCTCGTGTCTATAATATCAAGATTATACGTGATGTTGAGTAATCATTGCACTGCTTGATAAACAGTGACAATATTACTCTAAACTCAGAAAATATATTTGGGTTTATCTCAACATTCCCACTCAATGCATTACTTACAATGAGCCCAAAGCAAATAAGGATTAGCAGAAAATAAAAGAATAGGAATAAGATAAGATGAAAACTAACAGAAAAAGTCATATTATGCATATTTGTTGATGAAACAATCAGAAGCTTTCAAGATCTCGTGAGCAAATTTAGCCAAATGGCAAAATAAACATCATGATTCAGAAAGCAATAGACCTTTGTTTATCCTAGAAATTGAACACTGAGAAAATAATCAGGGAATCTGCTATTTACAATTCAAATATGTACAATAGGTACTTAATGTAAACTTCACCAAATGGGTAAAATTATTCTGTATAAGAAATTTCACAGTACTAATAAATAGTTGTAATCATAGGCTAGAAAATAGAGCTCTTTTCTATTTTCCATCTAGAAAGTGACACAGAACACTTATACGTAAGGATGATTGGATTTGGGGATATGAACAGATCTTAGAAGCACTCTATTTATCAGTAGAAGTGTATTGATGAGTTCATAGATGAAAATAATTTTAAGTGTTGTAGCCTGGATCAAATAAGGTGTTCAATTAATCCATGAACTCAAAGAGAGTGCTCTTGTCCCTGACCCCTCCCTCTCTGAAACCTTTCCTATAATAAATTCTATTTCAGCTTCCATGAAGTGAGGAAGCTTCATATTGAATGAGGCAGTTCTGCCATAATATTCCAACTTGGAGCCAGCCATCCATATTAGGAAAGCTCTGATATTCTGAGCTCCCATATACATTTTAAAAAATTACCCAAGGGTAGAAAAGTGACAAATATCATATTGATGGAGACCATTATGAAGCAGACCTGAACAGGACTTACATTAATCAATTGGCTTTTCATGCTCACTTGTGAATCTGTCCAAGGCCTAGGCTCCTTATCTGGAAATGGTGGACTCATAGTAAGTGAACCTCTGTGAGTCACTAATCCCTACTAAAACCTGTAGTGGTGAATGAACCCAGAAAGCCGCAAAGAATAAGACAAGATCACAGCCAAGGAAACCTGCATCAGACCTCAACTGGATAAACACTATAGCCTCAGGCATCTCACTCCTGGGTGGATTAACTTAATCCTTATGAAGGATTAATGTAATACCTTACTTAGAGATGTCCTGGAGTGATTCTGCCCTTCGCAAGTACTCCTTTCCCTTCTTTTGACAACCAAATAAATATAGGCCATCCAGAGGAGGTCTGGGTCTTAGTGAAATCATTCCATTTGCCTCTTTATATTTAGCCTTTGCTGTACACTCATTCAGGAGGCTATGGACCTGATCAGCCTGCAATAACTAAGGGATATTATTAACCTGATACAATATCTCATGTTTTTGATGCAACAGAATTGATATTAGTATAATGAACATAATATCCAGGTTGATCTATCAATTTACTACACTCTCAATCAAAATACTAAGAGCATTCATCACAGGACTAGAAATATAATCCAAAAATTTATAAGCGAAGACAACAAACCAAGAAAATATAAGGAATAATGAGCAACCAAACAAAAGTGTTAGAGTATCATATATCAAAATATACAACAAGCACATAGTGCAATAAACAGCAACATATTGGCATTAGTTGTCTGAGCTAGAACTGTTTACACCAAAGAAATCACAGTCAGTAACCTTTATGTGTATACATTTTTTAAAATGGATAAAATATGCAATAATAAAAATGCAACCTTCTCAACAAGAGATTTTTAAAAACTGATCATTAATACACAGACAGTAATGTTCCTAAGATCACATATGGCGTATGTACATAATAGAGTGTGCTTTACCCAGAAACAACATAAAAACAATGTCTGGAGGGAAGTGTAAATCCATTAAACAGAATAAGGCAGAGTAGGAAAATAAAATATCACATTCTTTCTCTCATATTTGAAATAGAAAAGACAACCAGAGTGCTTAAAATAACATAAAATTTGAAGAGAAAATATTATGTAAGAAAAAGAAAAGTGAACGAGAGAAGAAAAGTTAAGAATGTCACAGGTTGACTGAAAGGGATTGATGTGTATTTTATGCATATATATTTGTTCTAAAATAAATCTTACAGTTTGCTGTGATTAATATTTACCACTTAGAAAAAATACATGAAGATCATGACAAGCAGTTCAGCTAGGTCACATGAAATTGACATAGGGGTTAAGGAATATAATTAACTGGATACTGTACAGGATTTTCAGGATTAGATTATTAATTAATGGAGACAAATGGCTCAAAAGGTAGACAGATAACATGTTTAATATAGATTATGAGAAAAAATGACACTATGTAAATGTCTCACTCCATTATATGCATAAATATTGTTTCACTCAGAAGCCGAAACAATGGCATAAAAGTACATGAAAGTGAAGATCTTGTAAAAGAAATAGATCCAGAGCTTCCCTGGAGCGCAGCCTCGCTCTCCCCCTTGTGTGTGAGTTGCAGGGCTAGTATCTGAAGATCCACAGCGCTCAGTGCAGCTCCTGTGCTGTTGAGTGGTGGAAGGTGGGGTCCCAGATGCTCCCGAACTATTTTGCATTCAGTTGGCTCCGAGGCGTGTGTGGAAAGGGCAGGGGAGACTCACTGGAGTTCCTGAAGCTGTCTGGGGATCGGCCCAGCTTCCACAAGGGTAGCGGGGATGCAGGTTGTGTTTACCGAGGCTTCAGA